CAGTAGTGAAGGAAGGAATGACACTAATTATTTGATGTCAATAATACGATTAAGACTTGCGATTTAAAAAGCTATTGTATGATTTTTCAATGTTTTCTTTAAGAATCTATCTTTAAAATAGCTGCCAAGTTTAAATATCTACAGCAAAACGTTCTTAGGTTTTTCTTTGTTACATTATCAATTTTTAATTCGCAAAGTAATAAATAAATAAATAAAATAAATAAAGTAAGAATTCTGTAGGCCTTAAATTATTCAACGTTCCGAGCGCCTAGTCCGAGTTGTTTGATATTTAAAATTCTCACCTTTTTTACAAAAATGCAGAAACACTTAAACGGGCTTTACAGTTTACTATAGCGAAATTCATAAATTAATGTTCGATGTTGACTATTATTGAAATAGAAAAAAATAAACCGTTAAATAAAAGTTTAAAGACTTTGTTGAACCATTCAACAAACGTAAGTGTTCAGGTATGAAGGTTTGTTCAATTCTGTCTCCATAACAGTATAATATTATTGTTGTGTTTCAAAAGATATTTCATCCGTGGTTGAATATTGCATTGGGGAAACCTATGTTAGAGGTGTGATTGTTAATGAAATAAATAAATAAATTCCGGATAAAGGTCATTTCCACCTTCGGTCTAATCATCACTTTCCATATTGTGAGATTCCGGTCAAGCTCGCTTTCACTTCTCTGATCATCATTATCCATCAGGTGAGACGCAGACAAAAGTCTTTTTGGTTTACAAAATAAACTATTTTTATATCGTTAAATATAGAAAATAAATTTATCATATTTTATCTACAGCCACAAACTTATAAAGCTAGGTACTCTTGACAGCCGATAATGACCTGTAATGCAACAGCATAGACACCTGAACAGCTAACCTCGAACTGAATATAGCCTTTGACGCCTTTGAACACATCGTTACGTATCACGACGACAATCCAATAAGTATGTTGACAATCTACATCGTTAGCGTGACATTCAGTTTTGAAGGTGAAATATTATACAAACTACGACTTTGAACATATTATAAACAAGGTTTATTTAGATACCTACTTGCAATATTCAAGTCGATAAAATTGTCTTACAGAAAGACTGCTATCTTTGCATAAAACTGATCCAAAAATAATAAATACAGAGCTGATTTGTTAGAAAAATTAATTAAACTTGTTTCTTTTACTACTACTACTTTGCCGGGTCTATTCCCATTTTATTTGGGGTCGGCCCTATGCTCGTTTTTTTTAACCTAATAAAATACATGGTTTCTTTTAAGAGCATGAATTGAGACTTTATAAGCACCTTATATAAAAATTATTTCATCTATGAAGCATGATTTTAATAGTAAAAGGGCTTACTGAAAAGGAATCTAACCTAACCTTTTACGACTTTTATAATCAGCTTAGCAAATACAGTCAAACAAAACCACATGCAGCTTGTTAGTAGGATTTACAAAGATATTTGCTGTACCACACGATAGGTTACATCGATTCTGGCTCAGAAATGCATATCCAATAATCCTCTTGAAGATAAAAGCCTGTATATAATCCTCGTATGTTTTATTGGGTTTAGAACGGATAATAGGATTTCCACAGCCATTTGGGTCTCAGCTTCCTTTGTTCTTTCCATATAATTTAGTCATCTTATTTTCGTTTGTAATAAAGAGAATGTAAGGTCTCATGTCTCTTGGGTTGGTAATAGTGCTTTGTTAACATTGAAGTAATATTACTACGTAGTACATTATAACTCAATGTTTGTTAATGCTTTATTTAGTAAGCCCCATTTCATTAAGGAGGTTAAGGTCCAGTTAACCAGTTACAATAAAGTTTCAGATAATAATCTGTTAGATAAATAAAAATGATTACATAGTAGCATCAAAATACCTCTTGGGGTAAACTAAATTACTACCTACACCCACAAAATAACACCGCTATTTTGGGCTTTCATTCATAAATAATAAGGTACAAACGACCTAAAACCAGATCGTCTGTACATCTATTTTGGATACGTCTGACACAAATTATAGTAGCTTGTATCAAAAAAGCCAAGTACATTTTGGGTTCACCTTTGACTTTTTGCCTAACCTTCTATTTTTTAGGTTTTAAATCTAAGTCATGTCTTCAGGATACTATCTCATCGATATACAGTTTTTCATACTTTTTTTTTAAACCTATTGTAACCGCAGTGGTAGTGAATAGTGTATAGCAAATACAACTTACGAATTTACAACAGATATTTTATTGAAAAGATTTCATTTTGTGTTTCATTTGAAACTCATAAAATATTTTTATGTAGTGTATGTCGATGTCATTATTATATCTACAAACGCTATCGACAATCATAAACGTCTCTAGTATGAAATCTTCTTTGTTACCGAATAATAGGCGAAGAAACCTATAACACTCAATTGTATGGGGAGACTTAGAAGACTTATCTCCCGAGAATAATAGGGTAGGATTGGAAGCCGTCAGCTATTCTCAAGATCATTTCATATCTCCATTCATCTTACGACTTTATTACTTGAACATGATTTTTAATTTAAGTTATGATGAATCAGTTGTGGAACTTAAAAACCAAGTAATTGTGTAAGTAGTAAAACCATTGACAATCTGTCAAAACTTACCAATCCCATTTATAATTTTGTGTAGCATTTCTGATTTACGACGTCATATTTCTACGAGCTCAATAGAATAATTTTTTGATTACAAAACTTATGAAAATCGAATTGTACAGCACATTCAAAAGCAATCGATTTTCAGGGCTATATTGAAGTTTTTTTTAAAGAAAAATGTGCAAATATTCCATCGAAAAAAAAAATATCCTTTCTCGCGACAGAGACATCTATTACTTTTTTTAATGACGGTATACAAAGAAATGAGTGTGTTATACAAAACTGTTCCTAGCCGATCAAATACTTTAAGACATAATTAGTAGGTACCATTGTAAAAATGCAAAAAATCCTAACAATCCTTTATTGCTTGGAGATAAAACTGGAATTTCTTATTTCACGGCCAAGGTCCAGAATGGCTTAATAAAATGCAACCGAGAGGAGCGTTAGGCAAGGAATCCACCGTCGCCGCGTAACGACATTAATTTCACATCGCCTTGAATGTCTTCCACTTCGTTTAATTAATAAGATCGGGTTTAACCACACCAAGTAGACAAAATAGGATCTTGAAAATTCACTTGGGGATTTTTAAAATGTATGAAAGTAAAAAGTGACATAGCCACAAATATGCAAAGTATAAGTTACAATACAGAATAATAATAACAATATGGCTATATCAGGAAACACAGTTTAAATATTATATCTGTTAAAAGGTTAAGAGGACCAGCCCCCCTAGACAAGTTTCACTTTCTGATCGAATCGAAAATCGAATCCATCAAAACTCCATACAAAAAAGGCTTTTCGGCCATTTTTCGACTTTTTGGTTTGCGATTATAATGTGCACTTTGTCTACACTTTGCGATAGTGCGACAAGGCTATCAAAATTTGTATGTGGGGAGATAATAATATTATAAAGTGTCGTTGCCAAAAAAATAATGAATTATTTCTGAAAGTGTAAATCGAAAAAGCAATCAAGTTCCAAACTTTGTTGACATTTATAGACTCAACGGGACTAAGCAGTGAACTCTAAAGACAAGGGCTGCCACAATAGATCAAACCTGGTCGAGTTGGCGCAAGTAAAGGCCCAAAAACCAATAATAATAATAAAACTTTGTTGAAAGCAAGTTAAGGTAGTGTAGCCTTACCTTTACATATCAATTAGAGTGGGAACTTCCAAATGTCACCAATGAAAAATTCATCGCCTCCATTGAAATTTGAGTCTACAGCCTCCGAAATAGAATGTCTTTCGTAAATTCCAAGGGCAGGTAAGTAATTAGAATTACGGCTCTTTCCCAGTACTCTTTCGTGTTTTCGTTTTTGTCCGTTTTCATCGGATGGAATGTTTCGTGTTCGTTTTTTTCCAATATTTTCCGTTTGGAAGGAGCATTTGCTTCCAATAGATTTATCATTTGATGGCCCAGTTCACATTCCATTGTTACAAAATCTCTGTGTTCTCCGATGTTCGGCCATTCAAATTTCGAATTTTATCTTTTTAAATCATTTTCCTTGTTTTTTACATCGCCGTTTACACCCACAGACTAAATGAAATGGAAAAACTTCCTACCTAACAAAATTATACCGAACTTCTTGTAATGTTTTGTTTTAGTTTTAAAAATAAAAACAATGTGCTGTACTTACCAGTAATTTTTTTTTGTTATCATCGTTCTTCTGTTAGTGTCTAGCTATTGAAAAATTTGGTGCCAGATCATCTGCAAGTAAGAGTTTTAGCCAATATTTTAGTCAAAACTAGATTTGTCACCCACAGACATAATTCAATTTTCTGACTTTTATCTGAAATTAATCTTCACAAATAAATCACAACCATATTCCCTTTACATAAATACAGCAATTTACACCACCAACTGCAAAACTTTTTAGGAATAGTTTACAAGAATTTGACAATAATATTTTTAATCTTTGTGGTTCAACCAACTGGCTTGAAAATTTTGGTCCGGTTTCCGATTATATCAGCTGATATATTTATTTATTTATGATAAGAATATAAACTTACTTTGGATGTCTAAAGACGAGTCAAAAGAAAACAATCACCAACACATCACAACACCAAGCCTTTTTCTTTTAAAGTTCTATAAGAATTACTCCGCGTCTTGAGAATTTCAGGATGTCAGCTAATATTGGCTGATGTTGATACACAAAAATAAAACCGTAACCTGAAATCACAACCTTATGCCTTTCTTTTAAAGTCCTTCAAGAATCATACGGTACTACGTCTTCGGGGTTACTACGAAAAACTTTATCCGAAGTTTCGATTGTTGCCATCTCTCTCACACAAAAAGAAATGTCAACATGAATGACGGTGACAGATAGACCCAAAACTACACAAAAAGCGTTTAGGATTAGCCCTGCTAGTTTCAGGATATCAGCTAATGTTGACACATAAATAAAACCGTCACTGAAATCACAACCTTAAGCCTTTTTCTTAAAGTCTACTATTCAAACGGTATCTCCTCGGGTCTTGAAGTGGATGCGTGGTGGGCTTTCAAGATGTCAGCTGAAGTCGACTTGACGCAGTTGTTCATATGGATGTCAGACGACGCGTTGGAGTGGTGGTGCTCACGGCGGGGCCGGTAGCAGCATTTTCGGCCAATGTCGCCGCAGAGAGATCTGGTGGAAATGGAGTATTACAATCCAGGGGATAATCATTATTTGTTTTTTTTTGTGGCATATTTAAATGTAAAAAAACACTAATAGGTATGTCATGAAAACTAGCATTCAACCTCATTCCTAGCACTAGATTTCTTTAATCACAAGTAGCTACAAGACGTAAAAATATTAGTATACAGTGAATAATTCATAGAAAATAGAAAATTTTAAACAAACAAGTTCTTCGTTAAAAAGTAGTTCTACTTCTGATTTAAAACATTTTTGTGAAATAACAAAATAAACTGAATAGAAGATGAGGCTAAAAGACATTGTTTACAGATCTTCTAATGATATCAAAAGTATTTTTATCTGGGTCATAGAATCAAAATTAAATGTAGAATAATACAATGTGACCCGTTGGTGTTGTAGATGTATCAAACTTGATTGATTCTTCTGCTCAAATGCAACAACTTTCGTATAGAAACAATATCCAAATTCTCAAAATTGACCACCCCATACTAATTGATTGAATAATTCTTTAAGTTTGCTACACCACCAATGGGTCCCCCTGCATAAGTGAAAGAAATAAAAAAGATGAAGGTCTACCTCATGTTCTAGGCCTACTTCGCACCTGCAGCAAGAGTCCAAGGTTTTCCTGAACGCAGCTCGAAAGTCCCGGTTGAAGTAGGCATAGATGAGAGGGTTGAGGGCTGAGTTGAAGTATCCCACCCAGAATACCGCTGCCACGACTGGAGGGGGGGATGGGCACGCGTCCCCACAGAGAGCTGTGATTATGTACCTGTGGAAGATAGATAGATATACACTATTGTATGAACTAAAGTCGCTGACATAGTCCAACGGATTAGCAAGCTGCAGTGGCAATGGGCAGGGCATATAGTACGCAGAACTGACGGCCGATGGGGCAGGCAGGCAGGTTCTGGAGTGGAGGCCACGTACTGACAAGCGCAGCGTAGGACGTCACTCACAAGGTGGACCAACTACCTCATAAAGATAGCGGGAAGGCGCTGGATGCAGGCCGCCACCAACTGGTCATTGTGGAAATCATTGGGGGAGGCTTATGTTCAGCAGCGGACGTCCTATGGCTGAAATGTTGATGATGATGATGACTCTATTGTTACACCAAACAAAACAAATTTAAAAGGCCATCCTAGCCACGATAGCCGTACGGTGAAGAGGACAGACTAGCCGACTCGTGATCCGAGGAACACGGGTTTGATCCCTGCCACCGCTCGACTATTGTGGTGACTCACTCGTAACACAAGCATATTTAGCTTACCACGGGGGGTTAACGGGATTATTAGTAATTATACATTATGTGTTTACAAAATTTAAACCTGTACGGCTAGCACGAAAAACTTTCGAGTTAAAATCGTTTGCGTATTCGAATCGCCATCAAAAGATTTAGTACGAAAACTACAAGCGCCCGTGTGAACGTGTCGTAAAGTGAACTAAGTATGAGAACTGGTTGCACGAAACTTATTTTGAGAATCAAAATTGTCACGTTATCGTTTAATTCGAAGATTGAGTATCGAATTTTGTCGAATACGCAAACGATTCGAAGACGAAAGTTGTTCATACTAGAGGTACTGGATGCGAGAATCGCAGGACCGGTTGTTGTGGAAATTCTTACGGTCGAAATGAATGAATTAGGAAATCTTTTATCATAAGAACCATTAAAGCATTGAGCTAGGTAATATTTTAATGCTTTTTTTTTTTTTTTTTTTTTTTTTTTTTTATCCACAACGAGGAAGCTCTTGGCCTGTATCTCACCTGATGGTAAGTGACGATCAGGCCGAAGGTGGAAGCGAGCTTCACCCGGAATCCTCAACCACAATTTCAATCTACCGTTTCAATCACAAAGCGCCTGTCAAAGGCCTCCCCTAAGGATTTCCACGGTTCTGAGCTGTCCGCATTCAGGCACTTCCCACAAACTTCACCAGGTCGTCGGTCCCCTGAGCTTTCGCCAATTAAGTGGATTTGACTGACGTTATCCTCTACCTTATCTTTACTAGAATAAATTGACTGCATCAAGGGACTTGAATCCAAGATTTTTCGTTTGACCAGATCAGTCACCCGACTTGACTGACCACTGAGATGTAAAGCGCCTATGCAATGTTTTGTTTTCAAGCTAATATCGTGAGTTTTTATAGGTACATTCAGCGTCATATAGTTTGTGACACCCAAAGTGACCAAAAAGTTGATAACACAACCTTATTCCAATGAGGGCTATCGTTTTAGCGCTCACCAGTTAGCGCCACTGTAGAGTAAGGTCCTGTCAATTGCTAGTAGCGAAGACAGTGGCGCCAACTTGTGAGCGCTAAAGTGGTAGGAGGACTATCGCATTAATTTGCACTCATCAAGATGGCGCCACTGTAGAGTAAGGTCCTGTCAATCGCCAGGGGTGCCAACTGTTAAGTATAAAAACGATAGCCACAAATTGTAATAAAGACGTGTTGCGAACTTTTTGGCTACTTTGGTTTTCACGAACAATTTAACGCTAACTTTACTAAGAAATACAAATGCCAAACCTCGATAACCATTCATCTAGGCCTAAATTCTGCCTGACAAATATGTTTTGTAGATACAGACAGATAAAATGTAGCAAAACAGAAATAAAACGTTACATCTCCGAAAAGGCACGATAGAAATACATTTATCTCTGTAAAAGAACCAATCCACTTGACTTAGGGCAGTGGATCTCAATCTTCTAGGAACCATGGAACACTTTGGTTTTTGTGTTATTAGCTGTATGTACTTCAGTGTACAATAATACACTATCATCGTTCATCGTTTCCATTCAACTACCCTCCACATAATCCTTTGTTTTGGAGAAATCTGTCACATACCGAAAAAGTTCGTAGAATCCACTATTACGATTTTTTTATGTTTTCGTTTAACTCAAGCTGTAAAAATTTTCTACGAATTGCGACAACAAAATCGGCCTGGTGTGAACCAATCTGCATAAATTCGTTTTCTAAATTGACCAGGGATTTAGCGTGGTGTCTTATAGAGAACCTTTCATAAAGAGTAAAAAATAAATAATGGTCTACAATAATGGCAGCAGCCTACATTTTTTCTATAATAGTAAATAGAGAGGTAACTCTATACAAGATGTATTAAACAAGCTTTATAAAAAGAAAAAGGTTTCTAAAAATATTTTTCACACTTCACAAGGCAATTTTCACATTTTTAACCTTAATGCTTTGAGTTAAGGTCGAAACACAATGGAATTTTAAAAAATGCTACACCCGTTAAAGGCCTAACGAAGCACTCAAGTTCCACGTCATTAAAATCGCAACCTTTTACATAAACCAAGCTTCTATTACGCGTTTTAAAAATACCTCCCTAGCCTATCGATCATCAGGAACGGCCCGGGGTCCTATCCTGGAAACCAATGTCCATTTACTCAACTACACCCATCTCTTTTCCACACTCTGATTTATTGAGATGAGAGAGCAAGACGGCTGGGTTGAAGTTTCGATTTTGGTGACCAGAATACACACCTGAGAGACAAATGACTGGCGTCGAATGCCAAGCCCCTGTTCCTCTGCTCTGACACGTTCCACATCGACTTACATTCCAGATATATCCCGTCTATATTTATTTTTAAAACGGGGTGGCATTGAGGAGGTTTAAGGCCTACTTTGAATCTGGCGTCTTTGAAGTAATGGAACTAAGTATAAATAAATAGGTAGCTTTCTTTTGACACAAACAGTACGTTTCTATGTAAATATCGGAAGTATCGGTGTTATTAGTAGATTTTAGTATGTTAGTGGATGTGGGGAAGGTAAGATTGCAAAATTGCATCTCTCATGAATGTAACTTACGAGTAGATGCGTAACAGAACGAATCTCAAAACTATGTAGATTCCATTTTAAGCAAATGGATATAATAAAAGTTTTATAATAAGGACCTAAGTCAAGGAGGCAATTCTAATACAAGCTATATTATTATTTTGGACGTGCCTAAATGCTCTGACAATAAGCTCTTTTCAGGGCTACTAATAATCTAAAATGGACCGGCAATCTAGTGAAAGTCACTGGAAGCACCTGGATGCGGACAGCTCAGGACCGATTGTTGTGGATATCCTTAGAAGAAGCCTTTGGACATCATTTGTTTGATACTAATTAGGAATTTGAGTCAGTCACATAGCAATAAATATCAAAAAGGACAATGGGCAAAATGGTACCCGGCTCCAATAGATATGTGTCTAGTATCGTTTGAAAGGTCTTACCAAGATGAACAACTTTTACTATGACCACCAGCCTCAGATCTGGTTGTGTACAAAGATATACATACTTTTTTGCAGAATGGTACCTGGCCCCAATAGTTATGTTTGTAGTGTCATTTGAAAGGTCTTACCAAGACGAACAACATTGACTATAGCCACCAGCCTCAGATCTGGTTGCGTTCGAAGATAAAGATACTTTTTGTGTAACCTAAGTATCATACAGTATGAAGGGGGACGCGCTAGGGGCAGGGCACCGACGAGATGGTCGGACGCGGTGAGGAAGACGGTGGGCGGGAGTTTGCATCGTGCGTTCCACACAGCTTATGACCGCAGTCTGTGGAGGAACACTATCTGTGGTCGCGATCCTCATCAGTGAGGGACCGAGGGAGAAGAAGAAGTATCATACGTGTCCATCGTATGGTACTTAGGTTATGCGAGGCAGGAAGGGTTTACTGCTCCAGCATCCTTCCTTAACTCTATAATTATTGATGGGGACAATTGTGAAATAAATATTTTTATTCAAAGAAGTTACCCCCTTATTAATAAAAAGTTACACCTAGGAAGAACCTTGGATTAAAATGACATTTCCATACCAAATGACAGTTTAAGCCAGAGTTCAACTAGGGTGTAACTTTTATTAATAAAGGGGTTAAAGTTTTATTACTTCTTAAGGGTTTTATTATGGGTTGCTAAAGCGAATAAACCCACAAGACCCAATAAGTCCACCCACAAGATGGACCGACGACCTCATAAAGGTAGCGGGAAGGCGCTGGATGCAGGCCGCCACCAACCGGCCATTGTGGAAATCATTGGGGGAGGCCTATGTTCAACTGGACGTCCTATGGCTAAAATGATCATGATGATGATGATGAAAGCGAATAAAGGGCTAATAGCTTGGGTAGTTCATCGTAGGTATAATCCTTTCCTTTTCAATGCTTCTTTTAGTTATATTATTAGATTGTAGTCATAATACATACTCGTATACATGGATGATTGTGTTATACTTTCATTATAATACTTAGTGGAATTACTGCTTTCAAAACGTGAATTAGAACTGGCCCCATAGCAGACATTTTCCTACATCTAAAGGCCTTTTAAAATATATATTGGTTATGGCTATTGGAGCGGGTACCACTTTCCATACATTTTTGCCCATCATCCTTTGAAACTGTCATTCCAAAGCAATAAGTACCAAATCTTCTACCAAATCGTGCCGGAAAGCGCAGCGTAAAACGTCCACCCAGAAGGTGGACCGACGATTTCATAAATGTAGCAGGTAGGTGCTGGATGCAGGCCGCCACTACCCGGCCATTGTGGAAATCATTGGGGGAGACCTATGATCAGCAGTGGACGTCCTATGGCTGAAAATGATGATGATGAAGTACCAAAGCTTACCATAAAAAGAAGGGTAGCCAGCACGCCAAGAAAGCCGACATGATGATGCCAAGGGTCCTGGCCGCTTTCCGCTCCCTCTTCATCTTGCTGCTAGCCATGGGCTGCATCTGTATGCTGTGCCGTTCCCTCATAACCTCCCCCATGGTGATCCCATTGATCTGGAGGTGCTTGTCCAGGAGTAGCGCGGCTACTTTACTCCTGTGGAAGAAGAAGGAATTATGCAACGCGATAGTTGAAATTAATTAAAGAAGAAATAGTGAATAACTCAAAAAAATATTTGTATAATCGAGAATAATTATAATATTCATATGCGAGTAGTATAACATCCGTTTTTTGACCGGACTAAGGACAGATTAATTTTTTCGCCGGATTTGGCGGTGGTGTATAGGTACACAGCTGGTTTATAATGTAAACGTGTTCACATGGATCGGACATAGAAGTCCAGTGAGAAAATTGACAGCAAATAAAGGATAATATCCGTTTTTTGATAGTAGGTAGGTACGTCGTCCGATGAAAAAACGGATGTCTACAAACGGCCTTAGAGTCCTTTCGTATAATAAACACCTAATAAATGTACGAGTAGAAACAATAACTTTCTGATCTGGGTTATTTTTCAATTCTTTGTAATACAAAACCGCGCTTTGTTTATACATAACCTATGGCGCAATGTAACGCTCTATCTTGACAGAAAACTTCGTAACTGCCTTTTATTACTCCTCGTTTATTTTAATGGCTCCACAGCTATTCCCTGATCAATTTAGAAAAGGAATTTATGCAGATTGGTTCAGCCAGAGTGGTTGACATCTATGGGAAAAATGTTTATTGCAGAAAGCACTTGTGTACGCGACAGTCGCCCGTATTCACAAACATTACTATGAGGTCTCACAGTGCGCGTGGACGCACAGGGTGACACATGAATCAATCACAGAACTCTATTCAACGCTGTGCGTTCGATTTGCTGCTTCAATTGTAGCAAGCATTGTTTGTGAATAAGGGGGAGTATCGCGTTTTTTGCAGTAAGTACGGGAGTTTGCAAAAAAATTATGCAGAAAGCTGCTAGTGGGAAGACTTCTATTAAACAATACTTATATTCAACTGTATCCTGTTTTTGCTGGTCCAGAAAAGCTATTTCGATCGATTTTTTGCGGGACACTGCCAACGGAATGTTCGTTAAATGTTTAGTATTAAACTACATATAGGTGCTAAATGGGGTCCTGTAAAAAGAGTACCTGCAAAAAACGGGATATCCCCATAAGTAAGAGCCCTAAAAGACGTGGGTACAAGTTCAGTTGCTTTGCTGCGTTTTACTTAATTATTGCTTAATTTGTTTTAGTTAGTGATTGGTCCTATAACTTTGACTATCCCTGAAACGCTAAGAAATAAGTTTCCCAATGTTTTTCAACCTTAGAAACAAGGCAGTAAAGTTCAAAATCCCATGGGAACTATATTCCCACTGCTGTATAAAACATTATAGGCCATTCCCCAGTTGTTCCCATATAAAACACATGTCGGGCCCATTATGGAAGTGCGTAAATTTTATTACCCATTATCTGATCATTGCACTTGTTATTACTTGATAGCGCAGGGTTGGTGGTTTGCCAGTTGCGGCTTCGAATTCGGCTGGGGTCAATAAATGTAAGTGTAAGATAGAACATATTTTTGAAGTACTTAATAACCTATTAAATTTACAAAACGCATTTTAACTGCTGTGTGTATTTTTAAAGCAAAACAGAATCGAATACCTACTTTAAAATACAAAAAATAATATTCTTAGTAACTTTCATAAGACTTTGTAGGAACGTCATAGCTTTTCTTTGACGCGGCGACGTTATAAACCTACGGAAGAATCGCTCTATGTAAGTAATAGTTGCTCACGTGAATTTGGATAAATAAATTCGTAAAACACTGATTTCCATTCATTAAAAAAGAAAAAGAAGAGTGAGAAGTATAGTTCCAAAATACTGGACTGTCCTGTCGATGACATTGACAGTGGGGCGCCACCGTCAATACCGGATCGCTGTTTCAGATTTTTGCCATGTTGGAAACCATATAGTTGAACGATGGTAGCGCCCCCCTGTCATTGAGTTTGGCGGGACAGTTCAGCGTGGGTCATCTATATTGGCTCCGTGCACGATTACAGCGCCAACTAGCGTCCACAACTTTGTGGGCTCTGTCACATTGACATTTAGGTCGTATATTTGTGAAAAAATATCGAAATGAAAAAATAACAAATATTTTCAACTAATAAATTGTTGTGATACCACGATTTGGGTGGAAAAAAGGTTTTGAAATCATTTTGGTCATTCAAATCAAATGAGGTAAGTCCAAAAAGTGTGTTTAATTTTGATTGTGTCAGGGTTTGTTTACTTCATTTATAGTTGTAGTTTTACAGTAAAACAAAAAGAAAAAGCTACTTTAACGGTTTCATTATATAACAGTAAATATATTTAAATGTTTCTGTATCGCTAGTAATAAATTAAATATCGTTTTCAGATCGAAATGAGTATCGTTTTGAAGACCGGGTTTGTGAGAGTTACAATATCAAATTCCAACCACAAACCGTATTTAAAGGAAAGTTGTTGGTATTGGCTGGACAAGTCCGAGATGTAGAAGAATTAAGAACAAAACAAGGGCAGAGTTCAATAATTCACGCTCTCATCATAAGGCAAACATCTGTGCACAACAACTACTGTGACTCATTTTTGTACTACCACGTTGTATAGTTTAGTTATTTCCAAATTGTAAACGGCTATTAAAACAGCCCTATCGAAATACAGTCCACTCTTTTATTTAAGTTCCCAGTAGGACCCTTTTCATGCGATTAATTAATGATATTAAAATGTATTATGTAGAATCGCTTTGCCATTGACAGATACATCTGATGACAGAGCTAACATTATTTCTACTTTTGACCACCATGAGCGCTGCGATAGATTATGTCCCCCCCCACCTAGTACTTCGCACCCAGCGAATACTCAGCTCATAGAGTATGTAAATTGATTGGTGGTGACAAGACAGTGACAACTGACCACTCCGAAAGATTTTTTTTTCCTTTCTGTCTTTACTGAATTGTTTTTATTTTCAACTAGCTGACCCGGCGAACTTTGTTCAGCCTTAATGGCAATAAATAAGCAGACTTTTTTTTTATTTCGAACGGGATAAAAAGTATCCTATGTCCTTCTCCTGGCTCTAAACTACCTCCCTGACAATTTTCAGCTAAATCGGTTCAACCGTTCTTGAGTTATAAGTGGAGTAACTAACACGACTTTCTTTTATATATATAGATTAATTTTGATCATCTGTGGCCTAATTCAAATATTTTGAAACAGTCAAAATGTCGCAGATTTTTAGAAGTCGTCCTATTGAAGTTGCAGCGCAGGACTAGACATTGGGGAAATCTTTTTTCCAACACTGGTAGTTTTTGGCTGAAATTAACTTAATTTTTTCATTCATTAAATCATTTTATCGCATTAAACCATTAATTTAAAATAACGACCACGAAATCACGAGACATCACGCACACAGCCCTAAGTAGAAGTTAAAATTTGTACAATACGCTTTTCATGCTAATAAACAATGTAAAATGTGATTCTAAGGGCATAGCATGATAACAATATTAGCCCATTTTCTGTTTATAGCAGAACTCGTAAGTATGCCTTCGTAACATATAATTTATGTCACGAAAACCTAATTTTCAACGAAAAAGTTAAAGCTGTTAGTGAAGCTACGGTTTACTTAGAATAACTCATTTTTTGCGATAAGAAAAGTAGTAGCAATTTAAAAGGTCGGTGTTAGAAATGTTATATTTTCACATTTACGGCCTTTTGGATACGTAATACAGTAAAACCTTACGACTTTATTTTAAGACTAGAGGCCGCTCGCGACTTCATACGCGTGGATCATGTTTTACCCCCTTAGGGGTGGAGTTTTAAAGGATACCTACGTCATAACATCTACATGCATGCCAAATTTCAGTCCGATCCGTCCAGTGGTTTGGGCTGTGCGTTGATAGCAGATCACTATGTCAGTCAGTCAGTCAGTCATCTTTGAGTTACATAATATATTTAGATGGTGTTCAAAATAAAAAAAAAAATGGAAATCATTGTACCTACTACCATAGGTTCATAATCAGTAATTTACATTAAAATATTGAAAAAACGCTTGAACGCTATTTCATCTGAATAAAGTAAGGTAGAGACAGTTTTGATACTAGTTTCAATTTTGAAACGTTCCTTTCACTAGCTTATTGTGTAAGAATTAAGAAACTATAAATAATTTATTTTACGGTGGTCTATAGTAATGTATGATATTAGCTTTTTTCCATCTCTTTCTTGTTTTATACAAACCAAGTTTTCAGCAAACGTGAAAACAGTTTGAAGAAAAATCTACACTAAAAGTAGAAAAAAAATTTTGTTATTTGTTTATTCAATAAACGTTCAAAAACCGGCAAAAGAAAACACAGTCGAAAATAGAGCTTCCTCCTTTTTTGAAGTCGGTTAGTAAAATAGTCCGTTGTGATCCAAAATTCTTTAAAGAAACAGACCTTTGATGTATTTAACTTGTTTTCCATTCATTAAGGCACATTATCTTGCCTTTAATGAAAGTGAGACAATAAGGGTTTCTTTTAACCCTTTGAGCCTGTTTACTGAGATAAGTAATTGTTCTTTCAAATGAAAAGCGTTAAAAGTCGCATTTTTAAGTGATCTCATTCACACCTTTTTAAGTAATTTGCTACAGTAGCTTTGTTTTTTTGTTTAGTTATTGTTTTTCTTGTTTTCTTTCACTGGCAGAAACGAACCTCCTGTTAAAATTTTCAAATATAATTAAAGGACTATGCCCATCAGTCTGTGCCACCGTTGGGACTCTTTTGTAGCCAGGATCTACAGCTTGACTGGCAATCAAAACCCAACCAGTGAAGGATGACGTTTTCCCTAGAAGAAGTTTAAGCTATCTTTAATAACTATAGGTACCTACCTACACTAACAAAGCTTTTTAAAACCTTAAATTATAAATTTTATGATCATTTTTATAGCTAACTAGCTTTTGCCCGCGGCTTCACACGCGTGAAATTTCGTTTGTCACAGATCGTCATAAATTATAGCCTATATGTTATTCTGGATTATGAACAATAATAATGTAAAGTTTCATCCGTTCAGTGGTTTTTGAGCCTATTCATTACAAACATACAAAAATAGGTA